TCAATGAAAACAAACCTGGTCAATTCCTCCCCTTAGTGAGTGGCTTGCTCTGGGTGTACAATTCAGCAAATCACATCAAATAATTGGACACTACAAAACATCAGATCATGTTCACTGTAACTAAGATTCTAGTTAAGAATAAAGGAGCAATTTCAAAGGATTGTCGAAAAACAGTTTGCAAAACCATGTTCTTTTTAAAAATGCCTATTTTGTTCCATATCCTTTAAGTACAACCTTACATATTTATTTTTACGTCTGATGAAGAGCTCCATCACTGGAACTCTTTCAGGTGCTTTCTATTTTTTTTCTTGTTATTAGGGAGAATCCTCTTAAAGCAAAGGCTGTATTTCCTGATGAGTTTCAAAACTACAAAGGAGATGAATAAGTCAGGAGTTTCCCAAAATAAACTACAGCGAGAGCTGATCAGCAACAGAGGAAAGACTTTAAGGCAATAAGAGGCATCAGTGCTGTGATGCTCCAACGTTCATATCCAGATTCAAGTTCTATTGAAAGAAGATCTTTGAAGTCTCTTTCTGATCTGTTAACTGTCTGACTCCTCCTCCTCCTCTTCCTCCTCCTCCTCTGGTTTCCTGTCCACCTCAGATGTATCTGAAGATTCGTGGAGAAGGACGTACTCCCTGCTGCTGAACCCAAACTTCAGCACATCCTTTTCTTTCAATTCGTAGTAACGTTGAGGTTCAATCCGTTGGTTATTTAGGAAAGTACCATTGCCAGAGCCAAGGTCAATGATGTAAGGCTTGACTCTGCGGCCAACTGTACCATCGGCACGGGTGTACTCCACAAGCCTGGCAAAAACAGAAACAACCTTTAAACCATAATGAAAGAAGTATAAACAGCCACTTCACGCTGTTAATAAAAACGGAGATGGATCTTTCAGAATAACCTCAAGATAGCTAATACCTCAATTTCCAAAAAATCTCATTAAATACAGAAAGTTAAGTCTCTGAAAAGATGCGAGGCACTCAGCCTGCCTAAAAATTTCTCACCATGAGCTGAAGTTAAATGAAAGCCTGTGCCATGTTTTAAACATTAAAAAGTTCAAGATTAGTAATATACAAGAGATAATTAATTCCGTCAACAAACAACTCCTCTGCCTCCAGCGGTGGGCAATCCCTGCTGCTCCCAAGGAAAGCCAGCACTCCATATTGTGTTGGGCCAATCTGGCAATGCTCCTTTTAACCTTTAACCTATCAAGCATGACTGCAAGTGTTACTCCGGTTCCAATGTATGTCTGATTCTATTTCGAATACTGCTGTACTCTTTGCCTTACTTAAAGGCTGCTTATGGTTAGATGTGAGGAATCAAAGGTAATTTTGATTACTGCTAAAAGGATACGCAGCTGTTGTACATAAAATCTGGCTAATTCTGAAATAGAAGATAAATTTATAGATTTACTAGTTTGCAGAGGGTTTTGAGTACCCAACATACTATTCACTTCTAGCCTCCACTACAATCTGGTTTCCTAGGCAGGCACAGTGAGTAACACTTACCGATACTGAAACACAGCATGCTGTTTGGAGCAAGACGGGTGGTCAATAGGAATATCTGCGATTCTTCGGTGCCTGCCCAGCAGGTAAGCACTCTGTCTGTGAATGTACATGACTGGGAGAACCTCATCATTCTTAAAAGGGTAGAGACGCCATCGTTTCTTTGGAATCCGAGCTTCCGGGGGCTCGCTATATTTAATCACAACACCTCGGAAGGTGTTTGAATCCTCTAGGAGTGCACCAGACAGTTCAAAACTTGGTTTCTCCTTATTTGTTGGATCTTTGTCTTTATTTTCACCATCAGGTTTACCAAAGTCCAGAGTCTCATCACCACTGCTTGCTTCATTCTTCTGGCGATGCTCACGTCTTCTCTCGTTATAAAATTCCCTCTCCACTTGCTGCTCACGGAGATTGTGGGCATCCCTCTCTCTTTCATACCCTCGACCTCCTGGCCTTTCATTGGGATTTTTCCTTCTCTTTGAATGATCTCTGTGTCTGTCTCTGTCACCATTTCTATCTCGCCTGTGTTCTTGCTCTGACTGATCTCTGTGCTGTCGTTCCTCATGTCCTCTCCGGGAATGGTCATCTCGCTCCTGTAACAAAGAAAACCTTACAGTGATCTATTTAGAATTAAAGATGAAAAAACACAGGGAATTTTGTTTGGTCTTTAAAATTTGAATTTAATATGAGACTATAGAACAAAACTCAATCATCAAGTATACAGGTTTTTAAAATGTGGATGAAAAGGACTTCCTCATTCACCTGCTAAGGCCCATGTTCAGGTCTCTGAGTTACAGTAAATAAAATTAGCTCCAGAAGAGAACACAGACCTGCATTCCCTGCACTGAAATAGGGGTTGATGAGATGACTGACTGTTCAGGGAATATGTGACCATGAACTCATGTTTTGTAAGATAAATAGAAGCAGAATCAGTTTTCAGTTACTTTATTCTAAAAAGTAGAGGTTCTTGAGTTACATATAATTTACTAGTATTTGGCTTCTTAGCTTAAATGATATATTATTATAAACATTTATATTAGGGTAGCACCCCAAAAGCCCCACTGAGGATTATGCTGGGTCCTGTACAGACAGAAGATAATCCTTGGCCTGGAAGGTTTACAATCTAAAAATTAAATTCAAATATTTGATATTTTCTATGCTCTAACAGTTTGGTCACTTCCACACATGGAAAAATACCACTTAAACCAAGTTTCTAAACTACTGCTGACATTTCACAGATCAATGTTTAGAATAAATTTTCCTAATACTTTGTCTATTCCGTTTTCTGCATGTTTCAGTACTATCGACACTTGCATAAACCCTAAATCTTTCTTCCCTCAGAATTCTTCTGCTTTGCCTGCTTATTCCCTGCCTGAACTCAACAGCCACAGTTTTCTAGTCATTCCATTATGCAACCCTCATTGTAAGAGATTCCTCTCATAGTTTATCTCACTTACCAACATCCCATATCTTGGTTCTCAGTTTCCCCAAGAAGGGTACCATGGACCACATGTGTGGGTAACACTCTTGTCTAGTGCTCTTCAATATTAAAGTTGGAAAAATAATCCCCGACTATAAATCAGTAATTTTTATGTTATTGATTTAGGCCCTGTCTACACTACAACTTATGTCAGCAAAACTTATGTTGCTCAGGGGTGTGAAAAAAAACCATCCCCTTGAGCAACGTAAGTTTCGCCAAGAGCTTCTCCTGCTGACAAAGCTACCATCGCTCGTTAGGGGTGCTTTAATTATGTTGACGGGAGAGCTCTCTTCTGTCGGCATAAAGCTGCTGACTACATAGAATCATAGAACGAGAGGTCATCTAGTCCAGTCCCCTGCACTCATGGCAGGACTAGGTATTATCTAGACCATCCCTGACAGGTATTTGCCTAACCTGCTCTTAAAAATCTCCAATTCCACAACCTCCCTAGGCAATTTATTCCAGTGCTTAACTACCCTTATGGCAGGAGACTCAAGGAGCTTGGCTTGTTTAGCCTGACAAAACAAAGGCTCAGGGGAGATATGATTGCTCTCTATAAATACAGCAAAGGGATAGATACCAAAGACGGAAAGGAGTTAAGTGAAGCACAGCATTCCACATTTTCAGTTTTTGCAGTAATTCAGCCAGAGGTTATGGGTCTAGTATAGGAGAGGATGGGTGAGGTTCTGGAGCCTATAATGTCAGGAGATCAGATTAGGTAATCATGATGGTCCCTTTTGGCCTTAAAGTCTATGAGTCTATGAATCTTGCTGCTGTCACCAAGGGGCCAAGCCAGCATACTACTCCACGTGATCAGAATCCTGTGCCTGGGTGTGACAACACTGAAATCAACAGCACTCTGTGCAAAAGGAAAGCTTGCAGGGTAAGGTGTACCATGACAAAGTCCTGTCACGCTTACTGAATCATTAACAGCTAATTCCTGTGGATACTCAACCATTTACTGCAAAATCAGAGGTAGTTATAATTAATTTGTTTTTAAGAGTTAAATATGTTCCCGAATGTACAAATTACAATAACTGATAAAAGAAAATATTGGGGTAATCAAGTGATAAATTAGTCACATCACCCCATTTAGACCCAGTTCCCACATTTACTCTATGCAGACAGACAATTGTGGTTTCACAGACCCCCACTGATTTCAAGGAGGAGGTTAGTCCCGTGGAGTAATTTTCAAGACTGGGGCTTTAATGTTTAATATCCAGTAAATTACCTGCTTTACTTTGACTACAATATGATGAGGGCTTCTACTTCTTTTACTTCGAGGAGACTTGCTTCTTTTAGCAGAGGACTTGTTCTTTCTTTTTGCTGGTGACCTTTAAATATTAAAAAAATGATTTGTTGGGTCCACAGTCCCCAAGAAAAAAAGGAACGGAAGAGAGTCTGTGCAAAATGCACAGGATAATTTAACCTTAACCTACAGCTACCACTGCACTGTATTGTGTGGTGGGAGGATGGGATGGTGGGGAAGGGTGGGAGGGTCTCCCCACTGTGTGTATTTGGGGGTGGGGGAGATGAATTGGCCTTACAGGAGAAAGTGGGGGGATGAGGAGGGCATTGAGGGAGGGGCCGGGGAGGGATTGGTGGGGTCCCCCCAGCTCAAGGCGTCCAGCGGCGCCACAGGGACCGCCCGAGAGGACGAGCGGGCTCTCCCCACTAGGAGCCCCCGCCCCAGCTGTAGCGGGGTAAGCGCTGGCGGCCGGTACCTGCTGCGGCCCGGCCGGGCCGGGCCCTGCTCCCGCTCGGCAGGGGGGGACTGGCTGCCCCGGGCGGAGCGGGAGCGCCGGGGGCTCCGCTTCTCTGCCACTTCCTGTTGTTCCTGCCGCCGCCGCTTCCGCCGCCGCCGCTCGGTCTCGGCCTCCTCCATGGCTGCGGCCGGGGCCTAGGAGCCGAGTTTCGGCCGCAAGTCCCCGGCAGGCTGCGCAAGGCCTCCGGTCACCCGCAAACGGGAAGAGCGACTCCGTCTACGTCCACTTCCGCTTCCGGGGCAAGCGCGCCGAGCCAGCCGGAAGCACTCCTGCCAGGCGGCGGGGCTTGCTAGGGCGGCTGCTCCGCTCATGGCGTCCCTGCCGCGTCCGGGCCCGGCGGGATCACAGTGCGCTGCGCTCGCGGAGCGGCGGCCCGGGATCGAGGGGCTGGAGGCAGTTCCCCGCCTTGTTCTCGCTCACTTCTGAGGGGCCGGCCGAGACGCTTTACACTCTGCGCATGCGCCATCGTGTACCTTCCGCACGCACGGCGCATGCGCGTCCAGCCATCGCCTGATCTCTTGCATACGAGCGCCGGGGGGGGACGTCTTGACGAAATGACGGTGCGGCGCGGCTCGTTGTTGCCATGGTGATGGTACACAGCTCACGGGGAGAGTGCGGGCCTCGGAGCCGCTATGATCCCCCCGGCGGACTCGCTGCTCCGCTACGAGACCCCGGTGCTGGTGAGCCGCAACCCGGAGAAGCGCTCCCCGAAGGTGAAGGCGCTGCGGGGGACGGGCCCGGGATGCGGGTGGGGGGCCGCTGTATGAGGGCGAACCGGGATATTGGGGGGAGCCGCGGGGGGGCAGGGAGGACTGACCAGTGGGGAGGGGATGCGTGGGGGGGGCAGGGTTGAGCTGGGGGTACATGGGGTGGGGGGAGGAGAGGGCTGAGCTGTGGGGAGGGGGGTCGGTTGAGCTGGGGGTACATG